CTCAGAAAAGACTTAAACATTGATGATATCAATTGCTTTATAGCTAAATTGACCACAAAATTTTACAGCGACGCAAAGACATGCACCACATCGGATTTCAATAAATTGTTCGATATTGATATAATCAGTGATAATTCGAATTTCAGCCCAATTACCGCCTTTTTATGCTCAGACTGCATACTATCAAAATACTATTAACTTTATCATACAACTCTACTCAAGGGGATCTCCCCAATCCAAAGATGATTTTCCCTTCAAAACTAAAGATTTACTCCTTAAGGACTTGACTTGTTGTTACAACATACTACAACTTCAAAGATATATAGGACCTCCCAGAATACAACAAAACAGAATCGATGAATCGGTTAGTGGCGCTTCGCGCCAAACACCGAGATAACCCCAATATCCAGCATCCAGCATCATGGTTGACTATGTTATCATGATTTGAACTGCATATGCAGATATCCCGAGCCGTTACTGCCTCGTACTCCTCCAAATTTCCCGTCCTCATTACCTATGTCATTAGTCTCAGTCGCCCTAGGGCATATCACAGATCAGAGGTCTAGTGCCCGCTTGCGCGGGCAGGTACCTTGCCAAAATACATGATCTAGCTCATGGTTGACAACTTAAGTTTTTTCAAATGCAACGTATTTGTTTGCTTAAAATTGAAGTTTTAGTTCCATTTTAATACCACTGGGAAAAATGATAATGGAAGGGATTTAAAGTTGGCAGGTATTTCATTTCATTTATTAACAAAAAATTGGGTACCTGGGCCGCGCAGCGGCCCCTATCCCATACATCATGAATTAAAAACATTGTGTGAAAACATTTTGATTTTGCAACATTATGGTATGCAATAAAGTTGGCAGGTATGTAACATGTCTTATATACTAAGTATTTGGTATTTAATATTTGTAGCGGTAGTTATGCCTCAGATTTTTACAAGAAATGAAAAAAAAATCATCTAACTAAACTTATTTGAATCGCATATCTATCTTTTCATTTTATTTTATATCATATTATTTTATACCTGTCGTTGAACAGCCAATCCATTTTTGTGTTTATGGCTATCAATGTTCAACTTCTTAGTCTTGAGATTTTGAAACAAGCGCTTGATCTTCTTTATCAATCTCTGGGGCAAGACTTTGTGAACAAACCACATTTGCGATATATGGAGAAGAAAACCACGTAAACCATTAATGGCTGGAACGACGACAAAGGGATTCTAACCCATGATCCGTCTACCGCTGAGGATAATTTGCGTCACTACTGTGGCTGGTGCAGGCCGGGACCGGAGTTCAAATTGATGAGCCATCCCTGCGTTTTGAACCTGGGTCATCTCATTGGACGGTGATATCTCTATTCTTTGAGCCACCACGTCTTTGTTTCATTTGTTTGAAATTTTGAACGAATGTTCTTAACGTATATGGCTAGGGAAATGTTTTGACCATTTTTGTCAAATGCATTACAATATATGATGTCCATTATTTTAAAATTGAATTGTATAGTCTGTTTCCTAAATCATTGTTTACTTGCGCAGCAGAAAACCAAAGGAAACAAAATTAAAAAACAACAACTTGTAACTGAAGAATATGCTTTTTTAAAAAAGGTTCTTTTTGACCACCTCTGAGTCTCCTATGGTAAAAAATAAATATCAGGTTTCATAATTTTGTTTTGAATTTTCAATGCATAAATATCATGTTTCATAATTTTGTTTTGAATTTTCAATGCATAAATATCATGTTTCATTTCTTTTTTTTTTGCTGACTTTTTAATGTATAAATATCATGTTCCATAATTTCGTTTTGAATTTTTAATGCATGTATGTCATCTCAGTCGGAAAAAAAATTTACAACTATTTATATCAAAAATCGGTACTGTACCTCAATATTCGTATGAATAAAAACTATTATTCATTCACCTTTGATAGAAAGGTATTTCAGTCATAAATACCAAATACACATTCTTTTTTCACAAATTCTTTTTTTTTCTTCTTACACTTAACTATCACTCAATAACACGCTTGACTTTTATTGTTTGACCTTGAATTGACCTTTATTGTTTTGGAAAATATTTCAAGCTTATCAAAGCCGGTTACAGTAATAACGTTTCATAAGTAAACTCGCTTTTCAAAGTGAACTTATCAATTAAAAAGTTACGCCCTGATGCCTTATTTAGCAGAGGTTTTATAACTATCATAAACAAGATGTCCAAAAAATAGGGAGAAAGTCAAATATCTCGAGAAATAGGTTAAAAATGAGAAGCATTTTTAAATGCTATCTTCGATGATTATACCTTATTTTGCCCGATGATTATACCTTTATCTCCATTTTTGACCTGAGGAGATGAGATTTCATTCTCTAACAAGATTTTGTTTCCTTAGTCCTTATTGCAAATTAGGATTCTCACGACAATTTGACGTTTATTTGCATTTCTGTTCACAAATAGTGATGTAATTGCAAAACGAAAATTGTTCACAATTTTTTAAAAATGGCGACATGGCGTCAAATGCATGTCAAAGTGAAAAAATATATTATGTTTGATATTAACTGACTAAGATACTAAGATGACTAAGATAAGTTTGACTAAGATACTTATATTGCCCAAAAGCAGTCAAAATGACTGCATTGGGAAAGAATAACTAATGTATAAAGAAATTTGTTTAAAATTAATTTTTAATATTTTTGATATTATTTTCTGTTATATAACAAGTTATTAGTAAATATCAACAATAAAAATATTTATAAAAGTCACAAAGTTCCAAAAAATTGGGTCATTATATACATCACTATATATCATTGTTTTCCCAATTGAAATTAAAAAGAGGTCAAAATGACTTCCACGGGCAATCCAGTGTTAAGACAACCTCTCAAATGACACAAAATTCGACCCCTTCTCAGGAGTCATCCCAACTTTAAGATTAGGAGTCATCCAACATTAGGAGTCATCCCAACTTCAATTGATTTTGGCGTCATTGCTGGTTTTAAAAGTTTTTGATTTTTGTACCAATTCCTAAGACACGAGATACTTAACCAATTAAAGATTTTTTAGACAGCCTGCATAACTAGGGTGTACAGAACTGTGTTGGAGTTGGTTTTATGAGTTATGTCTCATATTAATTTGCGTATTTTTCAGTTGAAGAATGCAGATAAAAAACATGATATTTCTCTGATAAAATTGAATGCTCCTGTCTCTTTCTCCAATGGAGTTCAACCTGCTTGCCTTCCTCAAAAAGGATGGGAAGCACAGCCTGGATGGAGGTGTTATTCAACCGGATGGGGAGAATCAACATGTAAGTGACAACAAATTGCTCATTTAGAATGCATTTTTTTCACTTTAAAATAAGAACTGTCGGAATGTTATGCCGGTTTCAAGGCAATCTTTTGACAAAATTAAAACCGTGGTTCATTTCATTTACTCGCCAAAGTAATGCCAAAAACGAGATAACCTGTCTAAATGCCAGCCACCTATTTTTGGAAGACAAAACCCAAATAGATGTTCTCCATGATCTTCCCACCTCTGCTGGCTCACACGTATGCTTTGGTCGAAGCTTTTAATTGTCCTTTCGCATAAATGTATTACGTTGATACAGAGCTGAATTTTCCTCTTCAAATTGAAAGTAGTCACAGGGGTATTATGAGGAAACTTAGGCTTCAAAACATACCAAAGTAGAAAATCCAATATTGTTAAATTGTATGATCTGGGAGGTCAATTTCAATCACAAGCATGGGAAGCTATACAAACAAGAATTTAGTCAAAAATACTCAAAATCATGCTAAAAAAGGGATTTCTAGTTGCCTTAATATTTAAAAATCCGAAACTATCAGAGTCACTCTATTCTTTTTTCAATCCAGATGTTCTGTCGCACTTCAAACGGCGATAGAACGTTGCTAACGATAACGATGTATTTTGGGACACCATATGCTTTCATTTATCACTAAACTGTAATCAGATTCTAGATTATTTAAATTTTACTTTAATTGTTCTGCTAAAATGATATAATAACATATGAGGCGGTCTGAGCCATGGAAGACTAATAAAAGATATAACCCAAATCGAAATTCAATTTCAATGAAAAGTAGTTTGACCTAAGTAACCAATGTTGCAAAACATATTTTTTTGTTTTTAATCCCTTGCGAAATTTGCACTATCATATTTACTAAAACGTTGTAGGAAACATTTAATAAGAAACATTGATTAAAAAAAATGAAAGAAGGTATTACCAATATTACTAATACCTCAACAAGGATGGCTCAGGGGATAGAGAGCTCGCCTCCCAATGAGGTGAACCAGGTTCTAATCTCAGCAATAGCTGGTCGATACGAATTCCGCATTCAGCTTGCACCGACCACCAAACTGACGTAAAATATCCTCAGTGGTAGACGGATCATGGATAAGAGTCCCCTTGCCGTCAAGCTAACCGTGGGAGGTTTTCGTGGTTTTCCTCTCCGTTCTAACAAAAAATCCTCCTCAAAGGTAAAATTTTTTCTCAATACTTGATCCAACTGATCCCTTGTCTTCTGGATTGGATTCGAAATTACAAGGTTACGGAGTTGAACATTAGTAGCCGTAAACCTGAAAAATTGGGTCGGCTGTTCAACGACGGTTATAAAATAAAATACCTCAACAGGAATATTTAAGTACAGTAGTTTATATCGAAGTTAATTTAATTAGTTGCTCTTATTTCTGCCAATGAGCTAGTTTCTGACATCAATTGATCAGTGTAAAAAAAACAATACATATATAGTTTTAATAATATTAACATTTTAACGTAAGTCCAAGAGTAAATGAAAAAATAAAAATGTTAGATTGATTCATGTTTTTTATACCCTTTATGATTTAATGTTAAAATAAAGGATTCAAAACTGTTGCTACTCCAAATACTGAAATTTATAGTAGTGTATCTATGTTATATGATTATAAAATAATTTTGCTGACTTATGACCCTCTAGAGAACATGCCGATTGAGTGAACAGAATAAAATTGTGAATCGTGTATAGTATTCATGTTAAAGATTGGTGTAATAAACGATTGCGCAATTCTCACAGCAACAGTTACAGTGACAAAATTTCGAAATTTTATGACAGCAACACCCACCTTTTTTAATTGGAGCTAAATCCTCACCGTAAAAAACTTAAAATTGAACTGGAACGGTGTTTTTGGCATAAAATATTTCGACGCTAGACCTTTTCAAAAACCTGTTCACACCTGTTTCCTGTTCACAAACGAGAAGAGAGTGTTAAAACCTATTGTTATGGTTCAAAGAGAACGTTTAATAGAACTAAACGTTGGGAACTCACCGAAAATTTGCAAAATGCAAAAAAAATTCTCTTTACTGTTTGCTTAAGTGTTTATTTCATTTCCTTGAAAAAAATCACTTTTTCTTTATCCCTACCTAGCCTCTCCATTCATTGTGCAAAAAATATCGTTCCAACACCACTTTAAATTTTTCATTCTAAAGATCATGATTCAATCAAAGAAAAGTATTCAAGAATTTCTAAATTTTACGTCTGTAACAGTAACCATCAGAGATATGCTATCCCTTTTAATTTTTAACATCATTCCTGAGAGCATAGATTTCAAAATTTTATTAAATACATTCAAACTGTAAGCATTCCATATGGTCATAGGTCGACAAAATTATTTTCAACTTGTAGTGTATATATTGTAATAGATTTGCAATTCAAAAATCAACAATTCAAATATGCAATTCAATCAAAATGCAATTTACGAGTGCCATTAAAATGCATATAAATCAAATCATGATACATAATATTGAGTGTAAGGTAACAAATAAAAGAATTTACACGGTTTGCATGTTGCATATTTTTTAAACTTATACTGAATTCATACATTGCTATAGACAAAAACACAGAAGTGCCCTATTAGCGAACAAAGTGAACTTCAACTGAAAATCAATCCGAAAGCAACTGCGAAAGCAGTTTCGAGTTCTGGTGAGCCTTCAAACAAGTGGTGGGAGGAGCCTGCAAGCTAGTCCTTATTAAGGGAGAGTCGTTTGAGTTAGTAAAATTTTCCATGCAACTCACACTAGCGTAGCAGGATGAGAAAAACCATAAAGTTATCACATGGTATTCAGAGCTCGACAAAAATGGGACTCTTACTTGTTTTTCATCGACCATTAAGATTTCCTGACATAATTGTTGGTAGATGGCTAGATAAAATTAATCATTTATTTAAACCAACTAGTGATTGTGGGAATCCGCTAGAAGCAAAGCTGAATGTGCTAATCTTTTCAATCTATGATACAATGTGATTTTTTGTGATCTTTCTATTTTTAGCTACCGGATTTAATCAAGAACTGAAGCAATCAATTCAGGTCATTCAAAAAAAGCAGGAATGCTCCCACGAGGCGGTGACACAGATATGCGTCGAAAAACCCTACGATTCTCCATGCCTGGTAATATTATTGACTATTGACATTTAACTGTTTTTCCGTGATGTGAATCAAACTATTTGTTAAAAACTTTTTTTCTCTATGGCAGTAACTTTAATTGAACAAGTTAACTCAAAGACAAACGCATATTCACTCTGCAATCTCTATAATTCGCCTGCAAACGGGGACAAATTTTAAATGAAGTTGTTATTAAGAAAACCTCAAATATTTGTCAGTTGTATCTTCAGAATTCGCGCATGTTTCAAAACCTTATTTTTCTTCTAAAATTTATAAACTTTTAATCCTTAATCCCTATTGCAATTAAAATAATAAGCTAGTACTGTAAAGAAAATTATGAATATATAATTTTCAATATTTATTTCAATTTGTTAAAAATTTTTTTAATTAATAGGACATTCCATTGATACACCCTCTTAAAGTAAACGCTTGAAAGTAATTCGCTTTAGAGGTCTAGTGTCCTTCTCTAATATCCTCCTTATTTTTAACAATTCGCAACTTTACTTTTCAAAATTTCAACTTCATGCCACGGATTAATTTGCTAATTTAGGAATTTGAATTACTTATTTCAGAGTGTGAGTTTGTGCAGTTGATAAATCCTAATTTGTATTTTTTGGTACGAAGTTAGTCCTCTTTGTACTTTTTCTTATAATTCTTATTCAGTAATCTTGATAACTGGAAGGCCTCGGGGATAAGAAGTGATAATAAATGTCTTATAAAATTTTTACTTTGCAAGTATTAATAACGATTTGCAACCCAAGTTTCGTCGAGTGACGATAACATAATGCTTGTTGACTGCAGTATCTGTGACAAAGAAATCTATTTATCTCAGCTACAAAAGCACAATCTAGTACTTTTTCATCAAAGGTCTTCAACTCTTAGTTCGTATTTTTAGTAATCCTTAATTTTTTTTTCAGGGCGACAGTGGAGGTCCTCTAGTTTGTAAACTTGCAGGTCAGTGGTATGCCATGGGATCAACAAGCTTCAATGTCTCTGGTTTCAAGTATAAGATGGGCAAACTTTGCGATTCTAAAAAGAGTCAATCGATTTTTGCGAAAATTGCTGACAAGGGAGACTGGATACGGAAAGTCATTAACGAAAACGCTTGAGCAATGGAAAGTTATTCAACAAAGAACCTTTGAAGAGTTGAATTTTAAGAACGAAATTAGGCACCAGAAGATGCAAATAAATATTATTTGAGCAATAAAATAGAACTTTAAAAATTAATTTGGTTTTTAGTATTTTGAAAAGCCTCTGATGCACTTATTTCTTTCAACAGCACGTGTAATTTTACAAACAGTACCACTATTCCTAGACAATCAATGTATTGTTTACTATGTATCTTTCCTCAAGTTGAGTCGAATAACAGAAAAAGCAAATCTCTATGGCTAATAGTTCAGAAGCAATAAGTGATTTTAAAACTATGAAGTATAAAAAAGCCTTAGTGCATTATAGTCAACTGAAATTTCAGTTTAGAGAAAATTAAGTTTAAAGTTTTCATTATCAGCATTAGGATTATAGTATAGGATGAGTTTTAAGAAACAGTTATTACTGGGAATAATATAATTGAGCAGCACTAAAATTTTGTTGATAAGTGGAAAATAGCATGAGGAATTACTTAAACAAATTTTTTTTTCGTTTTTGTCTATTTTTGCTAACAGTTATTTTCATGTTGCATTAATTTTAATATAAACGAATCACCATTATTATAATTTTTTCATCATTGCATCATGAATAGACCATCTTAATCGATTTTTCACATTTTCAAAAATTAATTTATCATATATATATATATATATATATATATATATATTGTGTGGACTAGGCTGGAGATGAACTGAAAGGAGAACACAAAGACACGCAAATGTTTTTTAATTATAAACACAGAAAAGATCTTAGCTCAATCATTTCTTAGCTCAATCAAGTTTCAAGTTCAATAATACTCAATCTGTTGTAAAAAAAATTCTCTGCTAATACACTGATGGAATAGAGTATCCAAACACCAAGAAAAAGTTATTGTAGAATAAAGAAATTTTGGCAATTCGTTAGTCTGAGCAACATATTTAATTGATTAAAGTTTCAAAATCACAGCTTAAATTAATTAAAAGAAAATCCATTTCAAATATGAAATACTGTCATTAATAACCTGCGTAACCAGCAAAATTTCGAATGTAAGCATGCAAACGGGTATGCATTGTTTCAAACAGATGCCGTATGTTATTTTGTGGGATGGAGTTCCATGCCTGTTGCACGTGGTCAGTCAATTCTGGGATAGTTAATGCTGGTTGTGGATGACGATGAAGTTGTCGTCCAATGATGTACCATACGTGTTGAATTGGTGAGAGATCTGGTGATGTAGCCGGCCAAGGCACCATGTCGACATTCTGTAGAGCATGTTGGGTTGCAAAATTAGCATAAGGGCCAGCGTTATCCTGCTGGAAAATACCCCCCCCCCTAAATGATNCCCCCCCCCCCCCACTGAATGATGCTCATGAATGGAAACAAACACGTTGAAGTACCTGGTTGACGTACAAATTTGCAGTCAAGGTGCGTAAAATAACCACGAGAGTGCTCCTGCTGTCATATGAAATAACTTTCCAGACCATTACTCCAGGTGTTAGTCCAGTGTGTCTAGACCGGAGACAGGTCGGTAGCAGGTGCTCACCTGGTCTCTAACCAATATGCGACTATCGCTGGCACCAAGGCATAACCGACTTTCATCAGAATACACCATAGATCTCAACTCTATCCTCCGGTGAGCTCTAACTCGACGCCACTCACATCTAAAACAGCAGTGGTTTGGAGTGAGTGGAATGCAAGCTACAGGACTTCTTGCTCGGAGCTGTACTTGAAGCAGCCGATTTGTAACAGTTAGTTGTGTCACTGCAGTGCCAACTTCAGCGCGAATTTCTGATGCAGACGAAGTACAATGCACCACAGCCATACACCGCACACGGTGGTCTTCCCTCTGAGTAGTGCCACGTGGCTGCCCAGAGCACGGTCTTCTTGAAGCAGTACCTTCCCTTGACCACTGCAGCCAACAATCATGCACAGTGCCGTGGTGGCTCAAGAGAAAGTGCATTCGCCTCCCAATGTGAGGAATCAGGTTCAAAACAACGCGAATTTCACACCCGGCTCGTACCGACCACAGTTCTTACGTAAAATATCCTCAGTGGTAGACAGGTCATGGGTTAGAGTTCCTTGCCATCAGGCTGACCGTAAGAGGCCTTCGTGGATTTCCTGTCCATGCAACACCGCAAATGCGGATTAGTTCAATCAAAAAGTCTTCCATTAAGGCAAATTTCTCCCAATACTTGATCTAAAAATTCCCTTGTCTTCTGGATTGGGTTCAAAACTGCAAGACTACGGAGTTGAACTTCAGTAGTCGTAAACACGAAATTGCGATGGCGGTTCAACGACGGTTATAAAAAAATCATGCTGAGTGGATACATTTATTCCCAGTTTTTTTGCAATATAGCAGAAAGAAAATTCCCATTCTCGTAACCCTATTACATGACCACGTTCAAAGTCAGTTAGCTGTTGAGAATGGCTCCTTCGTCTTCTTAAAGGCATTCTTGACTAACAGCAACTCACCATGTCAAAATTTTGACGAAAAATAACGCTTACGAACTGTAGAACACGTATTTAAAGCAACCCTGAGTTGCATGTTCACAGTGGCACTACTAGCGCCAAAATTATGCGCCCAGCGCGAAATTTGACTAGACATCATCTTTTATACAAGCAATGAATTTTTTTTTTGCTTCAGTGTATTTTATCAGCTGAACTTGGTGATGCATGTACTTACAAATAATAACTCAATTTTAAAAAAAATGTTTGGCCATGTATAAACACTTATTTCCTTGAACACAAAAGCAAGTATCTCTACCCTTTATTTACGCTATCCCAAAGTTTCATAAATCTTTTCGCTACCTTACCACACGAACTTCCATTTGCAACTATTTCAAATATAGCAAAATTTGCCCCTACTCAACTAAATGTATATAACTTTTCCACTGTGGTCGCACAAAAATTCAAAATTGACAAATTGAAGTGAAGTTGAATTTAAAATTTGGGTCTAATACTTATGCTCTCTCTATTTATTTTAAATATACATTGGTAGCGTTTAAATATTTAAAACTTAGTAGAGTATTAATACATTTAAAAATAAATTTGATTTTCAACCTTATAATCCAGTAAAGTTAGACTTTTTTCGTCAGAAAAAATAATGCCTAAGATTTTTTCTTCATAGGAAATTCTATTATATTATTATAAATGATACTCAAAAACTCCCCTACTACCCTCTGTACGCTTCCCTCTTTTTGAAGTGGGAGAATTAAATGTCTTCTTCACAGGCAGGTGAGGCATATTTTCTAAAATATGTTTTTCCACCTTATTGAATGAGACCGATTCTGAGACTGACGGAATAATAGTTTAGAAAGAGGATTTTATGTATAAAAAGTACAAATTTGTACTTGTACGTATTTACGAAACAGACATTGCTATTTAACCCCTTCCTTCTCGCTCCCGTGATATTGACGGGCTGGAGTGTTCAGTAGTAACGGGCCAATAAGAATAAAACTAATTCATTTCTTTTTCGCCCGGAAAACATTTTATTTCTCATTTACCACACCAGATGGCAGTACCAGAATATTTTTTCGGTAATTATAGATAGTTAGTTTATTTTAAACTAGATGTCAGCACTAATCAAATACGTAATACAAATACAAAAGTCAAAAAATTAGGCACTTTTATGACCGTTTTCTTGAAAATTAACCGATCGTTAAGGGGTTAAACAAGACATTGTTTTCTATGTATTCCTTAACGAAAATTTAATTACTAAGTACTACGTAATTACTATATGTGTGCTTTTACAGAAATGAAACTATACACAGGTTAATAGAACAAGTAGTTTAAAAGGTACAAGAGTTTTTAAGAATAAACGGTACTTCTTTTAACACGACATATACGTACAATTAAAATTGATATCCAGGAACTATCTGAACACGTAATGTAAATTTTGCGATGTTATTAACCACGCTAAAATATATGAAACCAATTCCAAGATGATTGGACTAACTGCTTAAACGTTTTAACCGTTTTATGTACAAAAAGTACAATTTTGTACTCGCTTCATATCTGACATTGCTATATAGACAAGTGAGATGTTTTTTTTTTATGTACTTATTCTTTGTTAAATTGAATAAGACCAAAAACGAATCAAAAAGGCATATATTTCAGAAATTGAAATAATTTTTTGTGTATATACAAAACGTATTACCTTTGAATGGCACTTATTGTGCAGAAAATCTTGTAATTTCAAAACTATTTATCAATTCGAATGTTGTGAAATATTCATTCCATAAAAATTTTTTCTTGGAAAACGTACCTTACATATTCCGATTAGCATAGTAAAAAGTGTGAACCATTACAAATAAGCTATTTTAAATTATTCGTCCTATTGATTCGTTTATAGTCTCATTTGATCCAGCTTAAAATAATATAAAGGAAACAATGCTCCATTTATTTANTATATATATATACACATTTTATTTATTATAGTAATAACAATATAATAAATAAAATGTGTTTAATTCATCAGCACAGCAAAAAAATCGTACATTTTTTGGAAGAGAAGGGTTTCGTTATATTTGCAGCATAACGAACATCAAGAGTTGTAAGAGGTTATGTTGCATTAAGCTGGACTTTAACCAAGCTAGATATTAACTGGAGATTAAGTGTATTAGGCTGGAGATGAACTGAAAAGAGAACACAAAGACACTATAAAGTTTTTAATTATTAACACAGAAAAGATTAATCCAAGTTAATTTCATAGCTCAATCAGGTTTCAAGTTTAATAATACTCAATCTGCTGTAAAAAAAACCTCTCTGCTAATACACTGATGGAATAAAGTATCCAAACACCAGGAAAAAATTATTATAGAGTAATAAAATTTCGGCAATTCTTTTGTCTGAGCAACGTATTTAATTGATTAAAGATTTAAAATCACAGCTTAAATTAATTAAGAGATAAACCATTTCAAACATGAAATACTGTTATTAATAGTCCGTGCAACCAGCAAAATTTTGAATGTACGCATGCAAACGGGTATGCATTGTGTCATACAGATGCCGTATGTTATTTCGTGGGATGGACTTCCATGCCTGTTGCACCTGGTCAGTCAATACTGGGATAGTTAATATTGGCTGTGAATGACAATGAAGTTATT